TGCACAAGCTGCTGCACTTCCCCGAGGAGGTGGCGCTCAGGTTGACGGAAAGCGAGTACCAGCTATTTTACCAGGTACCACCGCACGAGTACTTAAGGCACGTGGCACAGGATCAGACCACGTTGCAGAAACCACCTGCCAGGCCACCCCCGTCGCCGAGTCGCAGCTGCAGCAACCCCAGCACCACTAACAGCTCGACCCAAACCGAGGACGAATCCTCCTGGTCTGTCGCCACGGTGTACTCCACCGTGCAGATCCTCATCGATCGTTTTAATGAGGTATATTAATACTCTTTCCTGTATTTGCATTTCTTTTAACGACACATAGTGTGTCGAGTGTGAGAAAAAATAGACTGCGAAGCGTCTTAAGCTAAACATTTAATTCTAACATGCGCAAAGTATTATTATAATTTGATACATAAATAAAAAGAGAAACGACGATATTGCATCACGAGAACGGTAATAGACGTGAATCAACAATTGTGGAGGAAAAGACTCCTGCCAAGAACCTCCTACGGTTTCAGTCTTGCGGAAACCTCATCAGCCGCTTTTAATGAGGTATCCACTTCTACAGCGGCTTTCCGTACGTTTTCATCGGACACTTTCACCCACTTCACTCATACACAAACACACTACTCACACACACACACACACACACACACACACACACACACACACACACACACACACACACATTTCTGTTTAAGACAATTATTTCTATTTTATTTTAATTATTTTAATTTTATTTTTTAGGAATAATTGTCTTATTGCAAGTCAACAATTATTATTACGTTAAATTTTTACAGAAATGAATCTTTTTTGAAAATAGAGAGAGATTTTAGCAGAATTAGTATACCTACAACTAGTCGGTCAGTAACAAGAGTTTCTAAAGCTATAACTGCTTTACGACCAAGTATAGCCCATATATAAAAATATCTGAAAGCGACAATGCCATTAAAGTAAAACAGGCTTTTTATAATGTACAATACGAAAGACGAAAGCCGACATCGCCCTCTTGTCAAAATTGATATAAAGATTATAATGTAAAGATAATGAATTATTTTTACTGATATTGGCATAAATGCACTGTCTAAGCAGATTATATCTTATTGAAAAGAAGAAAAAATAAATTGTTACATAAAGCGTAAGCTATCAAATAACATTTCTTTCAGAAATCTGCTGCTTTTATATCTTACAAATATTTCTTAAAATAAATAAGATTATTATCATAGAAATCGATCGAAATACTATTTTAGAATAATAACAAATTTTTTAAAACAATTTATATATAATTTATAAAATAATTTAAATGATAATAATAATAAATTATTTTATTTTATTTCTTTTATTTTTACAAGTGCAAATTGTGCGCCATGTATTTGTATGCGATATTTGTAAGATATGAAATTAGCAAATTTTTGAAAATAATATCATTTGACAGCTTACGCTTTACATATTATGTAATAATATTTTTTCTTTTTTTCAGTAAAATATAATTTGCTGAGATAGTCTATTTATGCGAATATCAATAAAAATAATCTCACTAATTTTATTTTTATTTTTATTTTTATTGTAACTTGTAATTATATAATTTTGACAAAGGGACAACAGTTAGTTTTCGCTTTTTGTACCGTGTATTATATCATATCTGAACACGCGAATTTTAAACGATTTGATTTGCTAAGTCTAAATGTTTATAATTCAAAAAGCATTGTAATCTCGATATTTTGGTATTAGAATTTTTATCTCAAAATGTTTTCAGAAATCTACCCTTAAGCGTTGTTATGGTCATTATAGGATACTAGATTGTTTTTTGTCGTATTTTATGAATTTAAAATTAATAAATTCAATAAATTATTTCTAGAATGTCTACAATTTCGTTCGACTACTAACTACGGGCCGTTTACGGATTCGAAGACATAGCAATCGAATGATATTCGTCTCCACCCAATAATTTCCTAATAATAATTAGAAGCCTGTAAGAAATTATTTATTGCGAAAAATATTACCCGCAAAATATTTTTTATTATGTTTGTCAATCAGGTAAGCTCATGGATCACCCACGCGATCACCAGCGGTGCCACGATAGAAGAACGGCAGGCGGTGCTGTCCTGTCTTCTACGCGTCGCACTAACCTGTTGGAATACTGGAAACTTTAATTCAGCTATGGAGATAATTGCCGGTCTGAAGTAAGTACCTATAATGCTTGTCGTAAACGCAAATGTCGGCACTAAGTCCCCCACGAAAAAGGTCAATCCTTGAATTGCTATCTCCTACTTCTTGCACCGCGCTCGCTTTTACGGTCCATGAGATAGTCAAGCCCGCATTGTTTCGGCTAAGTACGAAAGTCGTAATACAATTTCTTGGCGTCTCCGTAAAATTACGGAAAACCATCCATCTTCATCTAACCGCAGGGCAAAGTTACTGTCGGCACCGATAGATCATTACGAAAGACGACCGCAGCACGCATCCTCAGTCTCGAGTTTCGATCGGATTAGACACTAGAGCTATTGTCACTATCGTCTCCGTGTACGCGTAACTATAATTTTGTATCATTACAATTATATAATCGGTTAATGTCTCGAATTAACATCTCAAATTAGGATTATATTGAAAAACTCAAACCAACTGCATTACTCATTGAACAACTCAACTTTGTATATATACTTTAAAAAATTCATAACTTTGACGCGATAATTAATTCAACAATTTTTTATTTATATTATCTTCTGAATTTGAAACCTTGATGAATTTTATAAATGATAAGTGAGCCTAGAGATTTATACAAATCATAAAGATAATGTCTCGCGTACTCTGAGATCTGCGAAACATATAATCCCCGATGAGTTCGCGATACTAATTCGAATTCAAGGTTTCCTTGAAACTTTCCTCTTGTTTGTTGCATGATGTTGCGACTTTCAAGGTCGCCCGTCGTTCAATTAATCTTCATTTATTGGAACAAAGAACTCTCGAAGTTATAACAAAATATCAAAAAACAATGAAAAAAACGTAGCTAATAAGAGTTAACAACGCTGATAATACTGATAAGTGCGTAATCATGTTATAAATTTTTTGTTATACTAAGATATCATCTGCGATACAAATTGAACGTTTCGGCTCAACTTTGAATCATCTTCAGCAAATAGAAAGGCTTTGATCAAAAAGTAAAGACATAGTTAAAAAAACAATACAGAAAACCAAGAATCGCGGTATAGGAAGATTGCAATTTGCATTCGCATGGTGGTGACCAGCTATATTAGACGTCGAATTACGTTCACAACTTTCAAAGTCAGGTGACAAAGGCCAGTCAAAAAAATTTTTATTGTGACCTACGTATGAAAAACATTAAACATTTAACATTAAACTTAACATTAAAATCTGTGACTGCCAAATTACGAAAAGGAAATTTGTTATAACATTAAATCACTCATCGTACGAAAGACGCATCACAGAGTTCCTGTCACATTACCATCAATACACAATGAATAAATGATAGTTCTCAAGTTAACGGCATAAAGAAAATCATTATCTGACAAAAATTCGCTTAAAAAACGGTTAAAAAGAGGAAAACTTCTTAGTCCAGCCACCGCTAGTCCATGTCTAAAAATGAATCGATGTCATAAAATGAAGGGTAAATCAAAGCATAAAAAGGAATAAAAATAAAACATAAAACTATAAATAAAAATAAACCATTCCTCCCAATCAAAACAAGGATAATCAACAACTATTTGACAAAAAGTTTATAATTTATTTATGATGGAAACATATGCGTAGTGTAAAAATTCTTGAAGTTATATTTTTCTACAATAAACTTGAATATTTATTCGGATTTATTATTTTAAACATGAATATGTCCTTTTGAATATGTACATCAAGCTTTGCTATTATATAAATTGTGAATGAAAACTTCCAACAGTTATGGAAAATAATGTTTAATTTCAAGTATTTTTGATCAATATCATAAACTATAAATTTAAAAAATTTATTCTTAATTTTAGTATGATGGTTGTACCGTTCATGCAAAATTAGATCGCAAATGTCCATTACGAATGCATGTAGAGTCTTATAAAATCGCAAACAAAGAGAGAGAGAGAGAGAGAGAGAGAGAGAGAGAGAGAGAGAGAGAGAGAGAGAGAGAGAGAGAGAGAGAGAGAGAGAG